AAGAAAAAGAAAAGAATAGTTTGAACTTCGGAGTCGAATAGCTGCAATGCACAGCTCAAGTCTTGTAACTGAAAGAGTGTGTAAAAATTTGTCCATGGTACTAATTGACTAGAACATTCTTGCAACAATTTACAGAAAACCGCCACAGTCTGCAACTTGGGGAAATGGAGATGGATAATGGATACAATTTGGTCAACCCTGTATTAAGTCGTCACCCACGGGAATAAGGCGTTCAATACAGTGCGAGTGCTTAAATACGGTGCCACCTAAGACAGGTTTGACTGTAGTTCGTGAATTGACTGATTGAAACAAAAAAAAAAAAGAGGAAACAGTCCTGACATAAGAGACGTGGAGGGGGGCAGGGGGCTAGGATTTGATCATAACGTGGGCTGAAAAGGTGTGTAAGGGGGGGTGAACAAAATCTGGTTGAACCAATTTTCGTCGTGACAAAACCTATTTCAAAGAAGGAAATGACGGATATGGCAGGTGTAAGGGGATTTATTTTAGATGAACATGGCCTAATATGAACATTCTCACGTATTACATCGTAGGACGTGTATTTTGATGCGCACGCTACTCAGCTGGAGTTGGGCTTCCGATCTGATGTTTGGCGCGCGTTCACTTACCTTCATGTTTGGGACAAAGCCTTTCTTAATAAGGAACGAGTTTTTGTTCAAGCGCTCGATGAAAGAGCACTCCTCTTTGAATGTACGGTGTTCTTTCGCCATGTTATTCCTTTCATTCACGTTTCACAACGGTTTCAGCTGATTCAGCGAGGAGAGAAAAGATCTTTCGCGATAAATCAGCGATGACTCCTGTTTAAATCACGCGCAGTACAATTTCATATCCAGTCTTTCTCTGGCAAGTAATCCATAATGGCGGACGACGTGAGAGTGTTTTATTAACTCTCTAGGGATAAACCAGACCTGTTGCTGTTATTCAAAAGAGCGTTTACATTCAGTTTCTCAGTTAAAGCTCTTTGCTCATTGCTCCATAATGGCAGAGAAGAATTCGAAAGGGAAGAAGCGGAAATGGGAACCAGTAGTATTGGACGATCCTTCGTTCTTTGCGGGCGAAATGGATGGATTTGTGTCCCTTGAAGTCATGGAAGATTATGATCTAAAAGAACTAACAGGAATTGGTATAAGTGGACCAGCTCGGAAGAAGAAAATAAAAGAGCGGCCGCCGCAGAAGGTGAATTGCTTAAAGTGCTTTAAAACCTACCGCGTTGTCAAATTCAGAAAATAAGATTCAAGCACGTGGTGAATTACCTTGTAATTGACTTAAGTTTGAGTATGTACATGTAACTGAGAAATTGGAAAAAATATATTCGTATGTCAATTTTTTTGTTTATTTATTTTTTTATCATTACTCACCTTTAATTATTAAATGTAATAAATGGGAGAATTTTCAGCAAATTTTATGGATGAAGTCTCCTGTGCATCATCCAATCTTAGAAAATACATGTATGTCATATATGTATGTTTGTGCAGTCTATACTGACACGAAATTGAGGGTTGTCCATTACATTCAAATTGGGTTGAATCATTTATTTATCGACCCACCAGAAGTTATATTAAAGTTAACATGGCCACCAGGTGGACAATCAGACAGGCTTTGATGCTACTCTGGTTTAAGGACTTAATGAATGTAACCAAAGAAGCTATAAT